GAATTTACTACAGACTTTCTTAATTACGTTAATGTTTAATCGACTTTCAGTCATTTTTATTTTTATTTATGTCTGTGTTAACAGTCTGATAACAATATTTTTTATTAGCTTTTCAATTGAATCGTAAATTAAAAAAAAAACAATTCGAGTGAAACCTATTTTTAACTAGTGACCTACAAAAAACGTTTTTTTTTAAAGAGAGTTGTTATAAGTTTATCGTTAGACGTCAACGCAAATTGCATGTGACTCGTTTATTATAAGATAGCTAAATTTATTATTTTTTTCTTATCATCTTATCTGTTTCCCGTTAAAATTAATAAATTACTTTCTTTTCCGGTTTAAAAATAAACATAAACCAAATTAACATTAAGTATACCACTTTGTTAAATATTCTCTATTATTCTAGCTATCTACAAATATATAAACCTGTAATAACAGGTCAAATATCGATTTCACTAATAAATATTTAAAACAATGGTACATATTTAAAAGCGTTCATAATTGATTTACCACACAATGTTGTATACCTTCAATAATTGTGCAATATAAAAAGATAAATTAAATTCACACTTTTATGCACTGAATTATTTGAATAGGTTTTTGGTCAAAACAAAACAAAATAAATAAAACGCGACTTTATTAACAATTTAAAATATATCTTTTTAAATTTATATTGGGATTAAAAATATTACACCAGAATATGTAAGTTTAAAAAGATTTATTTCATGGGTTATTTGAAGCGAGGAAACGGATCGATGTGAAATTTGCTTTGAAATATGGAAGTTATATATTTAGTTGGGTATATCGATCCTACTTCCCTCAACATACCTTTAAGACTGAGACTAAGAACAACGACCGCGTGAAATTATTTACTTTTATATATTTTTTATTAAAAGCCATTTTACATATATACCTATATCTTCTTCAAAAATTTTTATTTCTCGCTGTATATAAATCTTAGAAAACTTAGAAGCTATAAATTGTTTCGAATACTATCATCCCACTTATCCATCTTAGACTGGTAATAATTGGCTTACAACGTACTTCTGCTTGATGTATGAAATGAAAAATCAACGAGGAGTTGCCCGCTAAGCATAATACTTCTCAAAAAATCTCTCGAAATGATGTTATTAGCCTGGGATTAGAACCCTGAGATTTCCTTGTTCCCGCGTCTGTCATACCCTGCCATTCTCGGCGAACCATGTTCTGTCCATAAAGGGGATTTATTGGATTTTCAGCGAGGGTGTTCAAGTATACGTTCTTAATGCAAATTCCTATAGCGAAGGAATCCAAACACTCTAGCTTAATGATATCAAAACTTGATGACACAGCAGGAGTTCTTTGAATGCCTAAAAAAATTGCGTTTGTGTTGTTTGACAATGTCACCATCTTATCATATCCACTTAGTACTCAAAATGTTTCAACTCAACTCAAAAACTAATTCAGGAAAAATCATCCCTACGAACTCTTCACAGATATAGCAGACAGTATCCCCATAAACACAGAAGTCTTCACACGACTTGGATCCTTTCATACAGCGGCTCAAAATTCCTATCAATTGGCATGGGGAGAAGGATGGAGCACTCAAATGGTGGTCTTGGTTGCCAATTGCAAGAAGAAACCACAAATAACTGGTATGGTGGATGAAAGACACCATAGAAGAACAAGATGTTCTTTAGTGTTAGATAGTATCATGGCTTGTGTTGATACTAATACTTCTTATTATCACCTTGGGATCACCGTCGTATATATCTATAATGTTTAATGTGTCGTTGTATTCTAATTGATATTAAATCTTGTTCCTAGACATTTCTATTTCCTTAATGGCCTCTTTATGTAGAAAATGAACAGATAGAATTAAAGATAGAACAGTGTGGTTGATAACATTGGTTTTTTATTTTACTCATGGGATTCGATATCAAACTTAATATATTATAGATTTTGTTATAAGTTAGAAACAAATATATTTAAATAAGACTATCATAAAAAAATTAATTCCGAACATAAAATTCCACGTCAGGTGAAAAATAACTACGTCAGAGTAGATTAATTAATCCCATTTTGGTTTAACACGGTTTTCTGGCATTTTGATAAACTTTGTGATGGTAAATGAATTGATTTTAAAAGGTATTTTACCGCTGGAATTTGTAACGAATGGGCATTATAATAAATTTTTGAGGTTCTAGGATTTCGAGATTGAAAATAAAAGTCAATTTCCTATAAGTGTACTTTTATTTACTATTATTGTGTATATAGGTTGTAAAATATTAATACAAAAAAAAATGAAATAAATCGTTAATATATTTACTCATTTTAAACAACTTTCTAACTGGTTTAAATTTCATTTTTGGAATGTAAGTAAACATCAAAACATCACGATTAATACACAATAATCGTTATATTTAATAAACTATTAAGCAGAAAAAAAATTCCATAAAAGCGTTTTTGTTTTGTAAACATTTCTCTTTTAACTCAATGTAATATCGATAACGACTTGTTAATTAGTATTACGTTCCATAGAATAAAAGAAGTTGTTTATAAACATAATAAACTTGAAAATGGTTCATTGAAAGGAAACGGTGGCTGAGAGCCATTCCTGAACAATAACCCAACATTTTGCGTCTGCAAACAATTTCGCTGTGTTTATATAACAATTACCGACTATCACTTTATATTACTGTTATAGTTTCCAGCAAGTTTCCGAGAATAACGAACAGCTCCAAACGGGTGCAAAAACATATAACACATTTAGAACGTAATGCGTTTATAATTGGTTTCTGTCGTGTCGAGGTTTTATGTCGCTCTTTGACCCCGTCAACCTAAAACGAAAAAGGGATCAATATGAGAACATTTAAGACATTCATGGTCAAAAGTTTTTTTAACCTTTAAAATGTTCTAAAAAATTTACATAATGGCTTTATTTTCGAATAGAATTTATCGGAGTAAAAAGTTTTTCATTTAATATTTAGAGTAACCATGAAAGCAGGTAGATAGATGTATTGTACTCGAGTAGCGGTATCGACTAAATAAATTTCGACTCCATTTTACCTCACAGCGTTTCAGAATTGAATGAGATACACTTTTCGATAAGCCTGAAAGGAGACCTAAATTTACTATGTAATCATTCACTAATAGAACAAGAATAGATTCTAAAATGAAAAGTAACATTAGCGGTAATAATGCAATTTATAATAATTATATAGTTTCACTTACAATTAGTAAAGTTTCTCATCTAACTATGTGGAATTACTTCATCTCATTCCCTGTTATATAATACAAAATAAATTGATGTAAAATATGGTGTTATAATTAAGTTTGTAATTGGTCAATCAATTCCTGTTAGAATCCAGGTGCATCTGACACAATTTTCTCTTTAAAATTATACGAATTTGGAGATCGGCCAATAAAAAGCGAAACGTTACGTTAAAAACGGAAAATTTAACTTTATTGTATACAAATAGTTATGCAAATTTATTTAACAAAATTATGTTTTTCGTGAAATTAAAAATTTTAAAATTTAATCAATTTTGGTTAAAAATTCAAGAAGTCGTCAAGCGTTCTCGTGAAAAAACGTGACAATGAGTGAGTTGAGGAAGTTATTTGAATAATTTCCAGAAAGAAATGAATGTTTGCATTTTTAATTGTAATTTTTCAACTTTAGTCATTACCAACTGTTTTAATATAATTTAATTGTAAGTAATTTTACATAATTTCTTATCAATTTAAAATATTCTCATTAAATGATATCTTTAGGAATTGTAATTATACAGGATCGTATAACATCGGTTTTATCGGGTAAAGTTATAGATCTTTTAACTAATTAAGCCGAGGTTGCTTGCGGCCGATGCTCAATGATTAATATTGTATCAACCTGAAACTGGTTATCGTGTTGTATCGTCTCGGCCGCAAGCGATCTTGGCTTTATGAGGTGAAATTGTAAATCTAATTAAGCCTCGGTTTAGTGATTAATATTATATCAAGTTGAAATTGGCCATGGTGTTGCAGCGCCTCGGCCACAAGCGACCTTGGCTTAATTAGTCAAAAGATCTACAACTTCACCTTATAAAGCCGAGGTTGCTTGCGGACGAGGTTCTGTGATTAATTTTATATCGCCTTGAAACTAGTAATCGCATTGTAGCACCTCGGCTTTATCAAATAAGGTTTTTTTAAACTTTATTTATAAGTTAATACAAGATTGTATTAATTAAAGATTTTTGTTAAGCATAAAAAATAGAAAATCACCAAGTATTTTAAACAAATAAGTTTGATTACTTCAAGGTTAACTACTCCATTAAACAAAATACATTTAAAATTCTCAGAAAAATTTTTCAAAGAAATTGCAAAGTGTACTTATCATTTTTTTCAGATTAGCCCCATTATTCTAATATAAATCGAGTACCACTTAACTGATATTTAGTTTTATTTGAATTTTTATGTCTGAAGTAATGATTTATAACTATTTATTCTAAAGCGCACTTAATTTTTTGCCTATTTATCATGTTTTCATTTCCTAAATTGTTTCAATTACCTAAAACATCAACACATTTATCTAGCAACAAAAGATAAACGCGAACAACGGAAAATAATCTAATAACATATTGTGAATTTATACATATTTTTTGTTATAGATAAATTCTATTCAAACAATGAGTCCGTATCATAACAACCAAGCGAACAATGAATTGTGTTTAGATTAAAGCGTCTTTCTCCGTCGACAAATAATTGTTTGCTCTTGGTACATCGAACTCACGCATTTATAACCAATAATATCAGTAAATAGGCTCGTGCAAACCGTTTTTAGGCGCCTCACAAAAAAATATTTGTCTCCGTATCACCGATAACACCCACGACCAGAATCACAGTCCTGAATAGAAAAGAATAATGTTATCAGTCGTTAAGTAGCAATTGATAATAAACATAGCGCAATCTTCGGATTAAATTAGTTTTAAACGAGCGTTGTTTTAGAAGGAGTTTCCATATAAAACGATATTCACTAGTTGGAGTGCAATAGTTCAGTTTTCGACGTTGAACAGCTCGGTTTACAACACGTGTTTATACTTATTTGCAAGGTGATTTATATGTAATTATCCCGCGGTGATAATAGTTGTGAGACGACAAACACCAAATAGTTTGTGTTAAGTTAAGACTAGAAAGTTGTAGTAGAAATATCCTACAATAGGTGAGTCAGATATACATATATTATCATTGATATTTGTTTGAATATTATAATATATAATTTAATTGAAATTTAAAGAAATCAATAATAAAAATCACACTTGATGAATCAGGAAATATTGTTGATATGGAATAATGCTTTTTGAATTTTTTACGAAGTAGTGAACAAAGACTTTGATAACAAAAGTATGTATTATTTCTTTTATATCGTGCTAAAATGAATGATAAATGTGAAATAAAAATTTAAACTAACACTCACTACATATATATCTTAAATTTTTTTTGATCAATTTAAATAAAATGCAAACAAATTGTATAAATATTTCTACAATTTATTCCAACCCATAATAAATTTCCACAATATTTATTTTATTTTGTACCTATTTGTCAACAAATATTGTAAAGTAACCATAAACGGTACTACACCAACGTATCAGGATAGGTACATAGAGCATGAAAAGTATGTGTCGTTTTGAATTATAGGGGCAATTCGGTGCACCCAGTTGTTGTGTTCTGCTGCAGTTAATTATGCAATGTTTACCGATCGACATGTCCTGGGTCTGAACGCGTTTCGAAACGCGCTCGTGCCGACGGGTTATCGCTTTAACAAAACTATGTGATTTAGAAATGAAATGGCGTTGGGATCGAACGATTGCTTCATGACGGAAATTAATGAAACCAGTCAAAACGTCAACTATTGATATTTGATACATTATGTTACTCGAGGATGTAAAAATAAGTTTGATGAAAATTTTTGCCTTTAGATTGAAAGGTTCAAAGGTGACATTATAACTTAATCCGATGAATCGATTTTAGCTTGTGGCAAATGAAAAATGCTGAAAGGTATTTAGGCTACCATTTAGATTTTCATACTGGATCTTTTGAACGTCTAGTCCACCAACTTGATCTTGGAGGAAGTAGTAACGTAGTTCCAAAAACTGAAAATTATAAACTGTCCTTTGATGACTGGACTATTTTTGCTTATATATCTTTCAAAAAATAAGGAACTCTGACTCTTGGAATGAATTGAAATCCTAATTGCTAACTACCTGGAGGACCTAGTAGCTCACAATCGCAACTTGATCTAGAGAAAAGAAAATTTGCCAAAATTCCAGCTCAGGAAATTCAAACGAAATTATCAACGAGAATGTCGAACTCGATTTTTCTCAATTTGTATATCACTTTCTTGTACTTTTATAACACATTTGCAGTTTGTCATCTTGTACAACAGTTTGTGGATTCTTGTTCCTTTTAATACTTTGCTAATAACTCCATGTCTCACTACTAAAGTGATTCCCTATCTGTTATCTACAACTTCTTTTCCTTGTTCTATTCATTTGAAGTACTACATCATTTAGTAGTTGTTCTTTTCCCTTCGCACATTTTTCTGTTCCTCTGGGACACTTATAGGTATGCCTTGTTATCAATAAGTTGGTCGTTAAACTTGAACCACAGAGACACCACCTTCATCTGCAAGTAGATGATATTTTTAGCCCCCTTTATTTAAAACTTTTCTTTCATCAATAACCAACTTAAACTTCCATGAATGTATTATTAATTTTTAATGCGACATCTCAAACTTTTGTTTACATAAATCTGTTGTTTTGATATTACTGTGAACTACTTTGTGTTTAACTGCGTTAACTGGCTTATGTTTAATTTATACGTCGAGTTTGCTCTCCACAAGACATTAATGGAATTGTTCTCTAAGATTTACCATTTCGCATAAATTATGTTCTTTTATTATTATTTTAAACTTTATCTTTATTTAAATGTTTCTTTATTTAGCGCATAGTATCTAACCATGTAATACTGACATAAATACAAGTAGCAATACGTTCCGTGTGTCATTGAAGTAATTTTCACGGTTTCCTACTTTGCTTGAACACATTCGAAATATATTTCACAATGCACTGTGAGAGTTAATTTGCTGAGAATGTCGTGGGGTGGAATATATTACGTATGCGAGAATATGAACTAACATGCCATAGCGATGGCGTGATATCGACTTTATGATTTCGTATAACCCATTTACATGAAGCGGATTTAAATGAATACTGCAATAAAAGAAATTAAGTTAACCCTTAATTCGATACGATTTCACATCTGGTTATTTCACTATAAACAATCCCTTAATCCTTGGCTACTACGGTGGTCTAAATGTTTTATTCGGCGTGGATAAACGATATTCATGATTTCAGCTTCTATAAATTTATAATTACAATAACAAGTTCTACTCAGCACGTTCGCTTCTTTTGATTTCCCAACGGAGAACGCATCCAGTTCCGAAATCACTGCGGAATCCTTTTTAGAGTTGTCTGTAGGAAACAAAATGCTCAAAATCGTTATTCTTATATTCTCTCATTTTACATTCATAATACAACCTTGTTATTTTCTATTTGAAATGGTTATTTTTCTTCAATCGGCTCAATTTCATTTTTAAAAAAGAGGTAGTATTTTTTTGTCTACTTCGTTTTTATTAACTTTACCACATCTGAGAATACAAACAAACTCGAATACACTAATTATGTCCTTATACGCGCGACACGTTTTTTGATGTAAAAAATTCTATTTCACGCCACAAAAGTAGAACAAAGGCGTCCCAATTAAGGGATGACACACGACAAGGGTTAGGGTACCTTCCAGGCAATAAATCGAGCCCTGGTATTAACATGCAACATCCAAAAACCCGACGGATGGCGCCTACCGTCCGCGAAAATGCTGCGGTGTAAAATAAAAGCGGTCGCTTCAGGGATTTGCTTTATTAACGGCAACCCTTTTCCGCGTAAATGGGATTAACGAACCAGCGACGACGAATATTGTGCAAGCAAAAATTTTATTCCGGATTTCGTAATACCCCGAAACGATGGGATTATCCTCGGATGATGAATAATCATAATTAGTTTACATTTAAGGTATATTGACTTATTAAACGACTCATAAGTTTTATTTAACGATAAAATATGTTAAGATTAAATAATGTTTGTTCTATTAATATTATTTTGAAAGTAGGTAAAATAAATCGAAAGTTCATGCAAAAGAAAACTTATCGTATTAAAAACGTCATCGCCCGCTCGCGCAGATTGCAGCATCCAATTTATATATAGAATAGAATTACCCATTCGGTTATTTTCCATATGCAAATACACGCGTGCTACTCTTATCGACTAATTTTAAACCAGCCGAGACGAGACCATATCGATAAGCAGCCACAAAAAAAAACGTGTAAACGTTCGATTAACGTTTCTCATTCGGTTATATTTACGGCCTGTATTAAATTATGTAGCTTATTTATTACTTCGAGTTATCAAGAGATTAAAAAGGTGCCAACAATTTTTTTAGTGAATACGTTATGTATCTCTGTAAAAACTATTAATAAAGAAAAATTATGTTTTATTTTCGTTAGATAATACTTAAGAAATACCAGGTTTTTTTTATAATTATTTCTTCGATTTTGTTTACTTTACACTTCTTGGAAATATTATTATGTTTTTTAACAATGATATTATGTCGCGTAAAAGAAGTTGTGGCAACAATAATTTCTGAGTAGTATTAGTAATCAAAAAGTATTTCAAATAAGATTCTAATAACAAATTGCTGGTTAGAACAATGTATAATATAATTTCTAAACAATGTATTAAAAAAATATTAAGTAAGTACTCCAAACATAATCATCTTTTTATTATTACAAATTTGGATAAAAAAATAATTTATTTCACAATTAAATAATATTTTTTAATTCTTCATATCGTCATAACAACGTCACAACTGCTCTTATTAATATTTAATTAAAGCGTAGCATAAACATGATCTGGATTTTATAAATTCCAATTAAAAGAGTGAATAATAACACGCACTTAACGTTACGTACGCAATTCTTTTTGACGTAACTACTTGAAGTAAACATTTTGGTTATGGAAAAAAATAAATAACAACTTATTTGTATTCGACAATTGTATTCTGTAACAATCAATGTAATAAACGAATCCGGAATGTCGTAAATTCCAATTATAATTGAAATCGGGTTTTATGATTTAAAAATAGAAATACAAATCATTTTTTTTATTATAAATCTCTTATTTCATTATTATTGCTTAAACGTTGTACGATTATTGATTTTGTAGAAATTTGTTGAAACATTGTTAGCTAGATAATAGCTCCTTTTTTGTTCGAAGCTTCCAAAGTTCTCAAAGATATTAGTTTTTAGACATCATAGGACATTTATTTTAATCATTTTTCGGGTGAAACAACTATTTTCACCCATTTTCAAAAAATCGTAACAAATTGGATTTTTAATAAATCATTATGAAAGTATCTGCACTTATTATACAAATTATTATCTTTTCAACGAAAGAAACTGATTTTCAAAACATCTTTTAGTTTTTGAGATATTAATTTTTAAACACAACGTTTTTTTTTCATTTCTACTAAATTTTCAAAAAATCACAATAAATCGAAATTTCAATGAATGTTTATGAAATTATCAACATATATAACTCAAATTATAGGCTATCCAACGAAAGTAACGGATTTTCAAAATATCTTTTTGTTTTTGAGATATTAATTGTTAAACACAACACGTTTTTTCTAGAACGAATTAACTCCACGAAATTTTCAAAAAATCACAATAAATCGAAATTTCAATAAATATTTAAGAAATTATCAGCATATCTAATTTAAATTATAAGCTTTATAACGAAAGAAACGGATTTTCAAAATAACTTTTAGTTTTTGAGATATTAATTGTTAAATACAACACGTTCTTTTCTAGAACAATTATCTCCACTAAATTTTCAAAAAATCACAATAAATCGAAATTTCAATAAACATTTACGATATTATCAGCATATATAATTCAAATTATAAGCTTTACAACGAAATAAACGGATTTTCAAAATAACTTTTAGTTTTTGAGATATTAATTGTTAAACACAACACGTTTTTTCTAGAACAATTAACTCGACTAAATTTTCAAAAAATCACAATAAATCGAAATTTCAATGA